ATGATATTGAAAAAAAAACAAGTAATATAAAAATAAGGGGAAGTAAAATAAGACTAAACACCCTGAAGTTTCAAAAGTAATAATAAGAAGTAGTGATAAATAATAATAATAGTGAAAGCAGTAATAAAATAATAAATAATAATAATGAATTGTTGAAACTGACCAATGGAGTAGAAGACACCTGGCCACCCGAATGGCGAAGCACATAGAGCAGCTGCAAGGGGATTGCCGATAGCTCCTAAACATATAGAATCATTAGCTGGGATTCTGAGCCTCTAGAGTTTTTTGTTTACCTAAGTCGTTCATGAAAATAAATGAATTTCTGAACAAAAAAAAACACTCCAGTACCTGCTAGTTGATTGCCGGTCGTATACACTGCGAGAGCGGTACTCCTCTCCTCAACCGGGAACCAATTTGAAATTAAAGCATTGAAAGACGGTACCACAAATCCCTAGAAAAGTCAGAAATTGGACAAAATTACTGGATGACTGGAATAGTCCCGACAGTTGCCCTCCTAGGCCGTTCGCAGCTGTGAATCCTTGGTGAAAAAAATTACTCCCAGAGCATACTCACCTCTCCAAATCCCATGATGACCCGTGCAGAAAACACTGCTATGGGACCAAAGTGGAGGGCTAAAAACGGTGTGGCGAAAGTAACCACGACGTATGAGATCATTGCAACCAAGAGTATGAGGCGAGGTGAGCAGCGATGCCAGATGAGCATTGACGGGCCAATGACTAGTAGGGCACCCCAGAAGGTGCCGGAAAAGATGATGTTCTGTGTTCGATGCGACCACAACAGTGTGCCCTGCAAAATGTCTCCAGTTAATTTTTTCTCATAAAAAATATGAGACAAAACAAAATAAAAGTGGTGAAGATGATACGCACGCCGTAGTCGACAACGATCGGATGGCCGTCATCAGCCTGCCTTTCACATTGAGGATCCAATAATGTTGTGTTTTTCTGTAATACTAAGAGTCCTGTAATATCTCGACATTGGAACTACATATGAGCAACACCTAATTCTAGACTTCGAAGACTTGACGAGGCCTTTCAGAAGGCCGTCATCAGCCTGCCTTTCACATTGAGGATCCAATAATGTCGTGTTTTTCTGTAATATCTCGACATTGGATCTACATATGAGCAACACCTAATTCTAGACTTCGAAGACTTGACGAGGCCCTTCAGAAGAAGATGAGCAGAGGAAAAAGGCGAAGATGGTGAACAATAGCTCCAGGAGCTGCACAGGTTAGTTTCCTCATTGAGCACCGGCCAGTGGCTTCCGTGCCCCATTTGTTGTCTAATGATTGAGTCCTAGCACAAACTAAACTATTGTTCCATGTACCCAGACAAGATCTTGTTAAGATCAGCTTGTCAGTGATGAGGGAACCAAAGTCAACCAGTGGTGCTCGGCTCTGTTGGGGCACCGGTCGTCGAGCTGATTCACACAGGTGGGTGGTGGATATTTTCTTGTTTAAGCTTTTCAAGGCTAAGATTTTTTTGCTATATAAGTTTGACTTCTCCTATTTAACTACTGTAGTGAGACAAAATTTTATTGTCACGGAAGAATTCCATAATACGTTCAAGCTATGTATGTTCGAAAAATGTATGCTCCAACGCCCAGACTAATACCTCCCGAGAAGGCGCTCATGGCCTAAAATCCCGGACGTCACCTGTTGACGCCTTACGCTTGACGCTCTTGCGTCGCGGGCGTTTGG